GAAACCAGGTGCTCAATTTTGCTATATTCATTGTAGACACTGCAGACACTTAAAAAACTCAGCACACATTTTTAAATTGTAATTGGGCTTACATCATTTGCAGGGAAGAACACTCTTCTGCCTTAGACCAGTTCTACTTTACAATGTTTGTCTTTAGAGATTAAGGACAAGACAGAGCCCTTCAGAAAGAGCAAATTAAGCAAGAACAGGGCATGAGGCAATAGCAATGAGTGGCTGCAGCTCAGAATTTGGAAACCTGGCTCTTGCCCATGGAGTGATCCTAGATGAATTTTCAAAACCATGCCAACGGGTTTGCGTAGCAGCAGCAGTAGCAGCAAGTGGAGGGCTGGATGTAGTTGGAGGGAAGCGCTCGAGTGAAAAACTAAAGACTTGTTTGAAAAGCAGGCAAAAGACAGCATTTATAGGAGGTGTAAGAAGCTTCCTTCATCGTGCAGCCTCCAGGAGCTATTCTGTGCACGCCCCACCACTGCCAGCTGGCCTGCTCGGAACAAAGATCTCTAAAGACACCACACTAGGTGACTGAGCAAGCCGCGCACCTCGCTGAGCTCCCGTGTCCCCTTCCCTCACCGCCCACTGTGGGCAGCAACTTCTTCAGGGTTGCCAGCCCCCAGGCTCCCGGTGGTGGCTCCCGGCTCAGCGAGTGCCCTGGCTCGTGGCACGAGGCTGTGGTTAAGTGGCCTCTGGTCCCTTTGGGGGACACGTGTGACCACTGATGTTAAACCAGGATGGCCAGTGAGTGTGCACACTGGCGCAGCAATTCCTGCTCCTCGCGGCAAACCCCACTGCAAACACAAAGCGCCGTAGTAATTCTAAGTAAGCCTTTTTCACTAGCCCCCTAGATCACTGAACTAAAATACAAGGTGAAAAACTACAGTAAGAAACCTCTCCTTTTCTCTTTGAACCATTCCTTTGGGTCGGGTCAGATGAGAATTTACTGCAAGTTAGTTTTGCTGTTATTGCAAGAAGAACTGAAGGGAATTTTCCACATCAAGGAAGCAACCTTTGCAGGGGGAGGAAAAGAAAAGGGAAGTAAAAATCTGAGTGTTCAAAGTGAGGTTTCAAATTAAAAAAATACTTATAGATTTTTTTAGAAAGGATTCCTGTTTTTCTTTCTCATTAAGAATCACAAAGAACCTATAAACAAGCCCTATCTGTTTCTCTTGGTGATAATACTTGTTTTATTTTGGGAGTTAGATTTTCTTCTCAAAAACACCCGCAGATTTTTTCAGCTTCCTATTTCTTTGCAGAACATACAACAGTCGCAGTCATGCAAACATCTTGCTGATCCACAGAGGCTAAATACGGCCAGTTCATATCCCTTGAGATGAACAGAGGGACGTTAGCTTGCACGGGGCTCCAGTTTGGCCCATACACTCTGATGTATTAGCTAGCAGCCCGGGAGTTCATGACTTTTATATGTTTCAACAAAAGCGTTGAAAAGAGCTTTTGATATGGTTATTTAGTCAAAGAGATCAAACACTTCTCCTTTGCATTAATCCTTTTCATGTATCCAGTACTCAAAATAAATATTAAAAAACAATCACCCTGCAGGTGCTCGGGCACATGGTTTGAGAGATATCGGTTCAGGGCTGGAGCAGCTTAAGAAGGGAAACGACAAAGGTTTATAAAATCACAGGCAGCACCAAGAATGGGGATGGGAAATGGTTATTTAGTCTTTCTCATCATGAGCGCAGCGGGCACGGGATGCTGCACTAGGGATGACCCAGAGCGGCAGCTCTTGTTTGGTTAGCTCAGCACTGCACCGTTGTGTCGACAACTCGAGAGCCTGGCCGCGCAGGCCCTTCTCCGTGCGCGGAGACTGCCCGCACGGGGCTGCAAGGCCGCAGCGGCCCGCGCCGGCCCTGCCTCCTGGCACTGGCGAGGACGCCCCCGAGCAGCCCTGGGCTTGTGCTGGCAGAGCCAGATCTTCAAGCTGTTCCATGCACGATCCATTCCGACTGGATCTGGAGTTTTTCCTTCGTAAGTTTTACTGGAGGCAATAGCACAATGTGACTTCAGGCCAGTCTTGCAGGGATGCTCCCGGGCATCATTATCCCGATTCCCCAGACAGAGAAGCCAACCAAAGGGTTGTCTCCCGAGGTCACAGCTGCCCCGGAGCTCCAGGCACTGGGGTGGCAGCAGCTGGAGGGATGGTGAGTCCAGGGCACTGGGCATTTCCACTTTGGCTTTGCCATCAGCTCAGCCGGGATCTCACTGTACAGCGATGCTCCCACCAATGTGTAGGGGAGGGCTACAGGGATGTGAGGCGTTTGCCTCACACACACAGGGGCCAGCATGGAATAATCTGGAAAAGCTGTCATTCAAGCAAGCAGAAAGACCGCAGCTCCTGTAGTCTCCAGCAGCTGGATCTGGGAGCAAATGCTTTGGGGGCTTCTCTGAACGCGGTGGGTGCAGCAGAGCCTGTAAGAGGCCGCACTGACCTGTCCCCCGCTTGGCGCTTGTTTCCTGGCCTCCTCCGCAGCTATTGCACCTGCGCGGGGTGTTACTGCTGCAGCCCCAAGGTGAGATCTGCTCCCAAGGAACAGCAAAGCCCAGGCTGCAGCCGGCCAACACGCTCCCTCGTCCCTCCTGCTTGTCCTTTTGATTTCTTTTTTCCGTGACCTCTAAAATATTTTCTCATTAAAAGAAGATCTATTTTTAAGCTGCCAATGTCATTTAATTAGTCACTTTTCATGAGATGCTCATCTGACTGGAATTTATGCTCTTTTCATTCCCATTTAGCAGCATATGCATTTTTTTCTATCAATGAGTAAGAAGGGGTTTCTTACATATATAAGTAACAATGTCTGTTTCTTTTTCCTCTTTCCTCATCTCCTGCCTCAGGTCCTTGAAAGGAGTAAATCAGACAACATAGAATTCACCTATATGTCCTTATATCACAGATCTTCTGACTCAGTGTTGTGCTCTGAAATCCAGAAGATGGACTTATCAGGAAAAAATATAAATACATGCATACATATATTTTATTTTTTTTATCTGTCACCTTTATATATGTTATCTGACGCTTATAGTGTCCTTGGAATGAGCTTCAGGTCTTAAAAATGACTGTTTCATGCTCTCATACCATCAAGACAACATCAAGCTTAATTTCTGCCCTGGTTATATAAAGGATTATACTATTCCTCAGACCCCTCTGAGCTGGGTCAACAAACACTGGGAGAAAAAAGTGCAGATCTTATACTGAAATAGTCATAAATAGAAACTACAGCAATAGATGCTACAAGATTTTGTACGTGATAGGGATACTGTTGGTGCGGTGGTTAACCAGCCTGCATGTGATACCTGCCCTAGAAGAAGAGCCTCGATCTCTATCCCAGAGCTGCATTCACTTTGCAGAGCAGATAGAAAGCAAAGAACCTGTGATTTTACTTCTTAGTTTAAACTAAGAAGTGATTTTTTTTTTGCTTTTGTTTGAACTAAAGTAAGTGAATATCCCTCTGAAATAGAAGCAAAACAGTTGCTGTTGTTCCCTAGTCACCTGGGGCAGGACTTCATTAAGAAACCACGAAGAAAAATGACAGCAAAGTCTTCATCAAGGGCAGCCTGCTTGGTGGGCACACGATGCACGGCTGGTTGCAGTGGGCAATGGGCTCAATGTCATCGAAAGGAAGAGGCACAATGAACGGAGGTCACCTGCCAGCTAAGGAAAATTGTTCCAGAAAGAAAAAAAAAAACTTAATCTTGGTAAAAATATAGTCCCTGAACACTGGCAGGGTCAGGGTCAGATTGGGTTACGTGTTGTGTAAGTCCCCATTATACAAGCCAAGGCAGAGCGGAGCCTTTCCCAGGGCTACTCAATCCTGCTTTCCCTCACTTGGTTTTGCTCTCGCTCATTCGTTTGCCTTTTCCTGGCTGTCTCCTCCAGGCGCTGCCTGGAACTCCAGAGTCGCCAGCCAAAGTGCCATGAATTAGGAAACCACTCACTCCTAAACAAAATATGGGCCTGGGAGTTTATGAGTGAACCTAAATCAATTCAACAGCTGCAATAGCAGTGTGCACGATTCACAGCATGACTAACTTCAAGCCCATTGCTGGGGAGGCTCTCTTCCCTTCGCCAGCATACATGCTCCATTCAGTGCAAAAATCATACGTTTTTCCAGGAAAAAGCATCCGATCACTAGCAAGCTGCTGCCTTTGCCCTCGCTTGCTGGCCCTTGTGCTTGCCCACCAGCACTTCAGGCACATGTTCTGGAAACAACATGGTGTTATGTTTTCAGCCTGAGCAATGTAAAATAACTTTCTTTAGGAGTGTGTTTCCTCCTGCAGAAACAGCTGCTTTGAGCCTCTCACACCTCCCTTTACTAGAACATTTTGGGTTCTCAGTCCCAAGCAGCTGGAGAAAAAGCAGCAGGCATGGGAAGAGTGAGAGATATGCTTTCTGGAGCCAGAAACCCACCCCACATTTGAATACCCTATTCCCGAAGAGCGCAAGAGTGGTGCTTCTCTTTTCCAACCCAGCACACGCCCTCAATACTTTGAAACTCCTGTCTGAATGCCAACACCCAAAGAAAGCTGCTGACCTATAGATATGCGGCTTGGTATTAGCAGGGAGAAAAAAAAATACAATACTGTACTGCAGACAGTGTCCTGGGAAAATTCAGGTTTTACAACTATTGAAAACATATTGATAACCTCATAAATACAACTTGCTCGTTAATCAACCACGAGAGAAGGCACTTACTAAAGCAATGCTTTCGTGACAAAGGAAAGGCTCAAAATCCCAAGCTAAACCCCCTGAATTTGGAGACCTGCATGTAAGGATCATTCCTGTAGTTAGAGAACAGGAACAGAATTTTACCTAGAAACTGGAGACTTTGCAGCTTTTGGGCTTTGACTTTGGCGCAGAGTGCAAATTCAATAGAACCAGACAACTTTAATGCCGCTTTGTTTCGTTGCAGAGCTCAGGGTTTAATGGAAGAAGCTGCTGAAGATCCCGGCTGCGCTCATCCCACACCTACCTCCATGGTGCCTTTTCCACCAGGGCCTCCTGGGTGGCAGGGAGACACGCACGAGCTGCAGACAAGATTCCTGCTCAAACCCAGGAACCTCAGGTTTTAAAAATGCCCGTTCAGCCACCACATCCTTCTCTTCCAGGTCTCACTGGATGTTTAATTGGGACCAAAAAATAAACCAAACCAACATCCCCACCACACACTCAAGGTTGGTTAAAGAGCTCCCCGTCGTTCATCCCCTTTTCACACTTTGTGATTTCTCAAATACAGCCTCGCTGTTTTACCACTGAGCGAGGTTAGGCCAACATCAGTCCTGCCTTGTCCAGCCGAGCCCCTTTGCTTCACTTTGGAGGAGCGAGGCCTGCCTCTACCCTCGGAGGAGCAGCCCTGCACCAGGTAGGCACATGGTATCACTCATATTCCTCTGCAAAGGGCAATCAACCCCACATTTACCTCAGTGCTCCTCCCTGGAAGGAGAGGACACTGCTCCTCGCAGTCCGCATCTGCCACAGCACTAAAAATTGTGACCGTTTCAAGTGCTACTTAAAAAAATAAATAAAAAAGCCCAAGGCAATATTCCGACCGCCAGTGGCTGTTCCCTCCGTCTTAACCTAGATCAACTTGACATAAGCCATTTACTTCATAGTTAACCCCGGAAAAATCCTGCAGGAAATATAAACTCTTGCGTTAATCCTGCTCAGCTGTTCGGTTCCCCTTGACTCTGGGGGGCGCCTGGAGCTGCTGCGGTGCAGCCAGAGTCAAACCTGCGGCTTTCGAGCAGGATCCTCGGGGATCCCCACACGGACCCTCACTTACGGAGGAGGGAAAGTGACACCCTGCAAGCGCAGAGCTTCACATCGAAACGTAAAGCGGCCTTAAAGTCGCTCTGTGCCTAATGCTGCGGTGCAAACTAATCTTGTTTCGGTTGAATCACACGTTCATTACAGCAAATAAATCAGCAATATGTGGGATTATGGAGGAGGAAAGACATGTTAAACCAGTTTAGGGCATCATATTTTTTTTTTTTTTTTTTTTTAAAGTTTTAGATGAGCTTGGGGCTTTTCAAGTCAGTTCTAATAAACACTTGTATAGCACAGATTAAGCAGGTGGGAATGTTGCCCAGAAAGAGTATTATGAATAACTTAAGGCACTGGTTTAATTGCAGCAATCCATGATACTAACTGTGCTGGCACCAGAGCGGAATTTTCAGTATTAAAAGTTAAAGCTTCAACAGACCGACCAGCAAACTTCCCTCTTTTATTAAATATTTGAAATATTTTTCCAACACTTTTTGCCTCAGATGAGGGCAGGGGAACCTTTCATAGGTCATTTAACTCATTTACCATGCGGCTTGTCTAAAGCTCTCACACAGCATTAGAACAAGCTCACGGTACCTCTCCTGCTTCCTTTTGTTACATGTTATTTTATGCCTCGGATTAGGCCAGGCTTTGCTCTTCGTGCCTGCAATTCAACTCCTGACACAAAACAAACGCTGCTCTTCCACTGTACAACTTCTTACACTAGTGAAATGCACAAGGTACACTTGGCCCACACGTCCTGCACAGTCACACTTACCGGAAAAAAAAACAGGCTAAAAATGCCTACACCCTTTCCAGAAGGAGAATTCACAACAAAACATGAGGGAAATGGGCAGGTTACCCACACACTCTGATTAGGAGTGCACTGACTTTGCTGATCACACAGCTCCTCATTCCACAGAAACTCTGCATTCAGGGCATGAAACCAAACGTATAAATTAGCAGAAACGCAGTAGATTTGATGGCACTTGATTAACCGGACAGCGAGCACAAGCAGTAATACATTAGGGATCTGAAACCATTTTGCAAATGCAGGAGGTATTTTAAAAACGTGGCAAAAAGCGGCCGTTACAAAAGAAAAAGCCCAAGCATTATTAGTTCATTTTGTAGAAAACTCCAGCATTCAGTGCCAAAGAGATGCCCTCGGCTAGCTCAGAATAAGAAACGGGCCTTGTTCAGTCTCATCTCCTTCAAGGTGTCGGAGCCTCCCCCTTCCAGCTGCAACCAGCACCCCCTCTGCACGACTTCTCAGGTCGCTTTAGCCACCTTGGAACCACCTCCTCACACTAAACACTTTGCCAGGAGTTTTTCCAGCCTCTGCTCCAGCCATCAGCTAAATCCTGCCCTCAGTCCCTCACGCGTTAAACTCCCTGTTTTGACTGGGCTCAAACTCCAGCCTTTCCAAGTGGCTGCAGTTCCTCATTTGTTCTGGATCTTGGAACAGCACTGCTTGGAAAATGCCTTTCCCCCCTCATTTTCCTGCAAAGGGTATAAGGAATATAGCCAGGAGCTTCTAAACACAAACACAGAATAGAACCATTTTATACATAGTATATAATATATATACTACACAATACTATAAATGCAACAATTAACCACACTGCTCGCTGTTCATTGACAATCTTTATTAGAGCTGATTTTCAGTGTTTAAAAGTTTCTTAACACAAGTATAAATATGAATCGAAGTGCTACTCCAGAGTAAGAAATTTTATTTGCACAAAGAGATACAAACAACTGGTATTTCAAACTGGTATTTCATATTTAGTACACACACTGTCAAAAGGGCAAGAGTAAACCAAGGTGAAAGATTAGCAGCAAAAAGAATTTTAGTTCTGCTTCACACAGCCTGTGTGCTTCCACATTTCTCTAGGAAACAGAGTGTAAAGACATAAACTTAGATATGAAATACCCTACAAAAATGTAACACATTTCATAAAGAAAGTTAGTACTACAAAGTCTGTAGAAGAGAAAAAAAATAAAGAGATGCAAGATTAAAAACCAAGTGCAAACTTTACTGTGGCTTTAAAATAAAAAACAACAAAAAAAAATCACATGAGTATTTCCTTTTAGCTTAGCAGCCAGAGATGTAAGAAAAGCTGATTTTTTTTAAATAATAAAGTGCTTAACCACCATATCCAGAAGTAATGACTTTCAGACCTACTTAACATGAATGTGCTCAAAAAGCCACTGCTTACAGTATAAAAGCTGTCATTCTGAAACGCTGCACATACAAATTGGCTTTATCTGCATGAATGAAAGATTGCTTTGAACAGCCCTCAATCATATGATGCCCCAAATCAACGTAATGCTATTAGGGGAGGCAGCTGAGTAAGTCCCCCGAAGTTTAAGAGATGCAAAAATAACATTTTCATTTAAGGCAGTGTGCCTCTCCCAGCCACAAGACAACTTGCGATCAGCAACAGAAATACCATTTTCTACTGCTGTCACAACGTACCCAGAACAAGCTGAGTGCTGACCCAGCAATTCACATGAGTAACAGAGAGCAGTAAATGCTTCTTAGATGTAAAACTCAATAAAGTAATCATGTGGACAAGACAAAACTATCACATTATTTTACTTAATACTAAACAGACTGTTAACGTGTCTTTAAAACTCATAGTATGTCCAAACACCAAAAATCCCAACAAAACCAGTGACTTGAAGAGCTTTAGGACTGTTTTGTTAGATATTTATTTAGCCTTTGTGCACAGGAAAAGTTCAACAGATTAAGTCCCAAAGCAAGTCAAATACAAAAGACTATTTGGTAAGTTTGTGATAGAAGTCAAACGCACAGACTACCAGAGAAATTTATTTTTTCAGCCAATATGGCCACTCATATTTAATCTCACAGTTATAAAACACACACACTCGGATGTGAGCAAAGGCTCTGGTATTGGTTAACTTCAAGTGTAAATGTGAACTGTTTCAACCCACCACTCTCCCATATTAGGGCCACCAAACTGTTGGTATTGCTACAGCTGAACCGTGCCCACACAACGCCAGGAGCATTGCTCATCCCTGCAGTTATGCTACAACTGCAAGGCTGAATTCATTTATATTCACCTGTTACACAGGGTCAATTTTTGAACATGTTTCTTGAAAGTCATCAATTCCCACCATAGCTCTTCAGGACCATTTTTATATTAGAGGAAGTCCTGATTCGTTTGCTGCTAAAATACAACATCTTCTCTAGAGCATTCGTGCTCACACCTCTGTGAGCCAGAAAAATTCTCTAGAGCAGGACATTCAACATCTCCAGTGTCTCTGCTTTACCTCACTTCTGCTTTATCAAAGCAAAAGAGAGAGGGAAAAAAAAGGAATAATAGAAAACAGACTTTATAATTGAAAAGGGAAAGGAAACAACTCAATAGAGATACACAGTGAGGCATTCAGTTGCACAGGCAGACATCTAAAATAAGCCTCTGAAAATTTAACATTTGAAAAGCAATAATTTTAGTGGTTTAAGCGTGCGAGTGCCTAAATACGCTGCCTGTTTCAGAGATAGCTGAATACTGTAGTCATCAATGATTACTATTCATGTCTAGCACTGGCAGTTTTGTTGCTTTTGTTGCTGGCGTTGGACATAATATATTACCACTTCCTCTGCACACTTCATGCTTTTCAGAGACCATCACAATCAACTCAGCAGCATGGCTTTAGAGAGAGATATTAGAAACAGATTTTTTTTTTAAGTGGTCCTCTATACATCCAAGATCTGACAAGACTGACTACTGCATGGAATTAAATATAACATTTCGAAGAGGAGCATTAAAAATAATTTCAAGCTTTTCCTGTCTGCAAGAATCACCATAGAAAGACTAAGGACCTCAGTTCAGAAAGGTAGACAGCAACATGACAGGTTTTTGTGAAATAAATATGGAAAAATAAAGAGGGAAAAAAAGCATGCAAGGGAAATCTAACTATTTTGCTGATGAGAAGTACAAAAAAGCTTAAGAGACAGAAAAGCATCAGCTTCAGCCTGAAAAGACACCCATTTTTTTTCAAACCAGAGTCCATACAGTGTCACACAGCCCTGCCTTGTCATGTTTGTTAATATCCCCGCTTAGAAGTCAGACAGCATTTTGTTTAACTTGTGTTGCTCTGTATCATTACACTAAACCATAATTAACTCCTCTTTTGTGCCGGCCTCATTCCAACACAATTGTACCCACTGTATACCAGCAGCAGTTCTCAGGTTTTGTTTTGCAGCTCAGCTGTATTTTTCTTGGATGTTCACAAGACTGGCATTTGACTGGATACGCTTGGCTAGAAAGGGAAAAATTATATGAAAATTAAACACAAAGAATTCCACAAAACTAGTCTCTCCACTCCCTCTATTGATCTGACACACGCTTGCAAACAGCTTTCCGGTCACGTCCAGAAACTTCAATGAAAAGATATGGCTGCAACTCTTCACTCCCCTCCTTCAGGGGACAGCAGCAGCCTAATAGTTGCTATTAGCTCCGTGGTGCAGCTGCAGATCTGGCTGGGCCCCCCTCTCCCACAAGAGCCAAGAGTCCCCAGCACCACCCAGCCCCAGCAGTGACCTGCAGGCAGCAGCACTTACGCAGAATCAGTATGCGCTTCTTCTGCTTGGAGTGAAGGAAGCTGCTCAGGTAAAAAACAACAGGCAAGAACAGGATAAAGGATGAAACTGCAATCACTGGGACTGTGTCGCTGCAGGGAACCGAGCAGTTGAAAGTCCTGCTCCAGAGCTTCCGAGTGATGTTCATCTGCAAGGAAAACGTGAGAAGAAAGCAAGCAGTGAGAACAAGCACGTGCATTTCTCGGGAATAGCATGGTAAAAACTCAGGCTTTGGGACATTCAAATGTTCAAATATGATTTCAAAATGCAATTTGATAGATCTCCTTTCAAAAGCAAGCAAGCCCCAGAAATGTAGAAACAGGCAAGGTGAATGTAGCCAAAGCTTCCGAGCAGAACTTTCACACACTCCAAAGACGACTATACTCAGATATACTACGGACAGTGCCACATGTCTGCTGTCCTGAAGACTTGCTGACAGCCTGGACAGAGGATGCCAGTCTCACACTTTCAACAACTCTCCTTTTGCCCAACTGGTTAAAACCCCACAATCTAACAAAACTTTTCCCAAACATGTTGCAAATACTGAGGACCCTTGGGAACAGCTGCTGTAATAAGGAATCAACTATTAGTCTGACCAGAACAATAAAGTAAAGCTTCATATTAAAAGCCAAAAGATCAAGGAATTTTTTGAAAATCCACCCCCTTTACAGTAACAAGAAATAAGCTATTCAAGCTGCAATGTGCTCACGCAATCAGGCGCTTTGGCCACACTCCTGCTGCACTCACTGAGGACAAGGCCTCACAAACCAGCCTCACTGGGCTGGCCTGGCATCAGGCCGCCAATGGCACTGCCACCAGTACCCGTCCAAACTGAAGGGGAAAAAGTGAACCCTGACAAGACAAGCACAAACAGTTCGGACTGATGAAGAGTTCCAAGGCCAGGTCTCTCCTTGGGGCATTAATAGATACTTACTGCATCTTCCACGTCGATACACAAGTGTGCCGAGTGTCCCGACTCGCCACCTTGCCTGTTCAGCCGCTGCAGGTAGTTGTACCGGTCATTCAACATTCTGTAGGTGGCATTGCAGTTTTTACACACTTCTGTGTAGTTATTTGACGACAGATCGAGTGTTTCTCCCTAGGATTATGAAGTACCATTCATACAGAGTTTTGAGGCATTGTATCTTGAAAACCAGAGCTAGGTTTGAACCAAAATGTAGATTTCTAACATTCCAAATCAGGGAGGGGCCTAGATGGAGAATCATCACATAAGAACCAGAAGAAAAGGGACCGACTAATTCACAAGGGTGTTTGCCTGACATCATTTGTTATTAGCAAGTTACACTGATTTTTAAATGTTTCTTGAACTAGCAGCTTAAAACAAGGTTTTGAAACTATCAAGTCCCAAGAAAGAAAAAGATTGCTAGCAATAAAATGTTGTTCTGGAGTCACACATCACATCCTTCATTTCCAATTCCTGTTTTTTATTTGCCCATAGCTAAAAAAATAATTAAAAAAAATAAAGTTATTACTGAGCTGTACTGAGAACAACTGACATAGGACTTCGCCATCACAGAAGGCAATGTGACACACTTGGAAACAAAGCCACGATCTCTAAAGACATTCCAACCCAGCAATTGCTACGGCCCCTACCCAAGTGGGCACTGGTTTAAGTTCTGTTAACACTTGAAGCGATTAAGAGACCTGTCCCACAGTGCTCCTCAGCAGTAAAGGTGCATTTCCTAGAAATCGTTAATTAATGAAAAAATAAATAAGACTACCATCTCAGAGCCTGTGCCATACCCATCATTTCCCATTTTTACTGCTGAATGATCCCAGAACTTAGGTAGTTTCTCACTGAGATAGAGTAGGCATCGTTTCTTTGCATACTTAAAGCATTTTCTTGGAGGACAATTACTACACTTACCTCACAAAGTGAAACATATTGCGTTTGTAATATGAACAAACTTTGGCTACCACCAGTCTTACTGGTTAAAAATATTGTTATGATGCTTTAGGGTAGCGGGTCTTTCTGAACTAGCACATATTATGAGAGTGTTATTAAAAGACTGAACTGTTAAGTGAGAGGACAACAATTCTATAAAGAGGTAGAAAAAGACAACACGCAGCAAGGATGTTACTTACTCTATAATTATCAACTACTGTGAATTCAGAAATTCTGATGTGAAGTAGCAGTGCAATTACACACAAAATGAAGTCAAGGTGAATATCAATTAGAATTAGTTTTAGGCTTCCAATCTGTAAACCCCAGCATTTTACAGATCACTGCTCTATCTGCCTAAACTGCCGATGAGTCTGTGAATTTTATTTGCCTATTATATATCCACTGCGGTTCATTCAGCATAAATAAGATTTTACCAGCAATTAGAGGATATAGTGCTTCTTTTAAATACACAGCATAAATACCTGCAGGTTTTGTTCAAAACATGTCAGAGATTTATTGAATAAATCCAGGAATTCTTCAGTAGAATTTGATAAGCCCTCACTGTTGTTCTTTAAGCAATCTGTAAAAGAGAAAGAAAAATACCAGGATATTCTGATTTCTAACATTTCCACAGCCAACAAGCCCCCAATACTCCACTCTTGCACAAAGAGCTCTCAGCTATAACAGACAGGTCTAGTCAACACTGCACTCTCTCCTTATCTGCCCGCCACTGATGTCTCAGACCCGCTGACCTAACTCTTGAGCGAGAACATATTTCAGAACTAATTGGCCTTGATTAAGTGAAAGATGAAGACTATCATCGAGAGCTTTCTGAAGAGGGGATCTGAATTATCTTTAGGCTTTAAGATAAAACAAGACATTACTTTTATTTTCCACCCCGCAAATCTGGCTTTGCCCAGCAACGTTAACAGCCATTATGTGAAAGGAGAAGCATCAGAAGCAGAGATGAAACACGGAACACCCAGGAAACAGAGAGAGCACAAACACCACAGCAGAAAACAGAGCGTGGGTTACTCCTGTTGAAGAGAGAGGCCAAACCTCTCACTAGTTTTGAAGGGACCCCTGGGGCTTCCCAGTCACAGGCCCACTCAACCCCCAGCCAGCCTCTCTTGATACTCATCCATCCCACTTCAGGTGCTCTCACCAGCTGGACCCTTGAAAATCAAAACAGCTCAGAAATTTAGATGTTCATCAAGAGCCAACGCTCTAGACAACACAAGGAAGAAAGGGAAAGCCCTAAAGCTGAGGCCACTCCTTCAGTGCGACCGTGGGATGGTAGCGCACAGGTTACAGCCTGAACAGGGCAGGAGAGCAGGGACCTCCTCAACACCCTCTCCACCCTCACAGAGCCCAGAGTCACGGCTGGCAAGAGCCTTTTTTGGGCTATCAAGGGACTCTAGCAAACCCAGCATGCTTAATGCTCAGCTCCACAATGCTATCCCCGCTGTTCTCTAGCACAGGGCTCCGTGTCCCCACCAAGATCACAGCTCTAGGAGCCTGTGTGGCACATCACCAACAGCATGGAGACAGGGAGATGATAGGGACAGACTTGGACACCTGCTTCCCATGAAATGAGATCAAAAGTATAGAGAGATCCTATTCAATGTGCAAGCAGGCCAGAGCGACTGACTTTTGATTAGCTAAAGTTTCTTACTTAATAAAATAAATAAATTGAAAAAAAGGAGGAACATGGGAGAAACAGAAGAAACTGCAATAAAACTAAGTCTTCTGCAGATCACAGAAAAACTAACGCAACTCCATTTTGAAAGAGTAGCCTAAAAGGAATAATTGTGTAACAGTTACTTTGAGGAAAACACCCCCCATTGCCATTGTTTAAAAACATAGGGCAAATCCTATACAGTTCTGATCTGAGCAAATTTTAGCCAAGTTCAGCTAAGACATAACAGAACACGAAAGCTACAGAGTAAGTCACCTACTTGCACAGTTGGCTGCTTCCCACGTCTCATTAAAGAACTCTGAAAGCATCACAACCACCTGGAGCCTATCTGAGGTCAAGATGCTTTTGGCACAATTGGGGCTCTCAGAAGAATTCTGGAAGAAAAAGAATCTGACATTATAAATGTGAAAATTCCAAAAAGCATTTTAAGGAAGCCCAGCTAACAATATGTCTCATCATCAAAATGGAAGCTTCCAGACTACGCAGTGAAGAACCAATGGAACAATAAAAATATTTTGCTCCTCCAAATCGCACTGCGAGCAACACAGTTTATTACACAAAGTCTACTGCATGCAAATTAGTCAAAAAATGCATTAAAAAAAAAACAAACTGCAGAGACAGAAGTCAACCTTTGCCAGCTGGTTCATAGTTACCTATTTCTGTCCAGCTACCCCCCAGAACCACCTCAAATCCTGCGCAGCCAGAGAAGCACAGGGTCATCCTAATTACAAAGGGATATTCGGAAGCTGAACCGAAACACCCAGACAACAGAACACGATGTCCAGAAGTGCTGCGTCAGTGTCTGGTATCTGCAGCAAACTTCCTCCAGATGCAGATGCACCAGGAGTGCAACTTTCACAGGAGCAGCCCCAGCAGCCTGCGTGGCTATTATCAGAGAGCCGCTTTTCTCCGGGAGATCCAAGTGTCAAATGGATCCCACCTTAGGAAGCCACCTAATGAATCCCACGCTCAGAGCAAGAAAACTGATGCAATTCCTACAGCAACTCATTCCCTAGGTAAAACTTTAAAAAACAAACAAACAAACAAACAAAGACTTAGTGAATAGAAAAGTAGTGATAGAACAAAAATTAAATCAACTATCCCTGTTGGGATTTAGAGTATTTTTCTCCCTCATCCGCTTGGATGCAGTCCTGTGCCACGTGCTCTAGGTGACCCTGCGTATGCAGGGGGGTTGGACTAGATGATCTCTAGAGGTCCCTTCCAACCCTAAGCATTCTATGATTCTATGATTCTATGATTCAAAGATTTGATTTCCCTAGCCCCTGAAAATCACTGATCCAAAGCCATGAACTTCAGTCAGCTGGCTTCTGTCAACTGACTTAAGCACTCCTCAAAATTGCCAAAGCTGCCAAAAGCCTCCTTATCGGTTCTAAATGACACGGGACAAGAAAGAGAGAGAGAGGAAAAAAAAAAAAAAAAAAACACCTCTTTAATGAGAAACAGGCTGCCTATGGAAGTTTAGGAAAGATCCAGTCTTCACGTTTCTTAAATAAGAATTTTCCCTGTGAGGCTCAACTGCAGAAATCTGCAGAACTGTCACTTCTGTCAACTCCTACACACAATCTCCTCCAGTCCCACTAAATGACACACAGACACACAAGCAAGCTGCTTATTCAGGAAACTCTCTGGTTACTTCATGAAGGCCTCCAGCTGTGAAACTTCCTCACCAGTCTCACTTGGGAGCAAGCACAAGCAGCTCAGATGCAAAACCGGATCTAGCAGACCTAAAGCCCTCCCCGAGGAGGCCTGCCTAGCTTAGTCTTTAGTAAGCCCAACGAGGAGGAGGATTTTACATTTCCCAAGTGCCCAAAACCAAACAGATCACAATATAACTACAACCATTTGATTAGGTAATCTGCACACAGAAGGAAAGCCAAGTGTTTGCCAAAGCAGACGGGTCTTCCAGGCAAAATTATTGAAACAGACCCCACTGCCCAGGCTGCCAGGACTCAAGAAGAGCCCCTGTAATAGGTTCATACATATCAAAAGCACTGAGACATATTTGGCAACTAACTCCTAGCTCAAACAACAGAGCTGGAAGTATCCAGCGACTACCTGCTGCTCCCCAAAGTGCACTGTCCTTCAGTGTAACTCTGTACCATTCACGAGGCATTTGAGACCCGTTAAGATGACACCCAGCAGACAGATAATCAATGCTTGATTTCTCACTTTTCCAATACCAAATCAGAGGCATGGAACTTCTGTATCACAAGTAATAAACAGACTACAACTACAGAGAGTGACTGGTGGGGGTATTTGCCCTGAAGACAAATCCCACACAGAGGTTCCCAAGCTCTTCCAACACGAGGAACAGGCGAAAGCTGACAGGTAACATACCAAAACCAAACAGGACATGCTACTTCCTCATATGGCTGGCAACTAAACTATGAAACTGTGATGGGGCACTGACGTGCCAGGAGTTTACATGTGTTCAAAGAGTCTCTAGTTGATGGACAATTCAAATCCAAACATCTCTCAAGCAGAGGCATAACCCATGGGACACACTGTTTTTATACGTTTCCTCTCCTCTTGTATCCCCAGGGCACATGCTTCTAGCCATCATCAGAGAAAAGGCAAAGGGCTGCTAGGATGTTGGTCTGACCCACTTCATGCACCCTTGCAGCACCTGAGACTTTCACAAACCGGTAAGTCATACAAGCTAAAGAAGTTTCCACTGCACAATAACAATAAACTATGTCCAACGCTGAGAAATGAGAAAAAGAACACTAAGAGGCTGGGAGATGTAAACAAAAGAACTGCAAGAGAAGGGCCAGGCTCTGCAGACTCCAGCAAAGGCTGAGCATTCCCCACTTGCAGCCACATGCTCGTACGGGATTGCGCAAGGGGTGACATAGCCACACAGGACACGGACACTCGCCAGAACTCCCAGTGCCGGTTTTCCATGAAACACAACACCCCTAAGCCCTGTCAGGGGTACCCATTAACCATGTACAACAACTACCTACAAACCACAGCACTGCTTACGGTGCTGTGACCAGGAAGATCAGGCACAGCCCAAGTTCTCCCACAGAGGCCGTGGAAAGCTCTTCTCCACGGTTGGATTTGCCAGCTCCGCAGCAGGCACAGGCTGCACAGACCATGGTGGGGGCAGAACCCAGCCCTGAACGTGCCCCCCGCTCTCCGAACGTGCTCCCAGCCTCCACCAAGCTGCAGCAAGAGCTCAGGGCCAAGGAGGTGACCTCCTGTGCCAGAGGTGGTCACCCCAGGCCTGTGCCCCGCTGACGGGGACGGCCCCACGCGCCCCCGTGGCTGCACCTGAGCCCAGCACCAGCCACACGGTGCTGCACCTTCACACCCAGGGCCGGGGATGAGCCCTGCCACGGAGCTGTGGGACAGGACAGGGCAGCAGCGGCCTCCCAGCTTGCCAGGGCAG